CCCCAAAACCCCAAAACCCCATGAAAATAAATCAATTAGATATTTTAAGAATTAATTTGTAAGTAATTAAAACTTTTATAAATGGATATACAAAATAAATTGACCCCTCTCTATAGTTAAAGGTCAATACCCCTCATCATTAAGTCACCGCAACATGGATAGAAATAGAAGTTAAAGCATTTAACTAGCTAAACAGCAAGATTAGCACCTTTAAATCAAATAAAAAAGAATTCACTCTAAAAGCTAAGGAATAAGTTATCAACTATCAGAAAGTCTCCTTTGGAAGATGAAAACAAAGATCTAAAAATTTCACGTACATAGAGTAATTTAAAGAAGCACGGTGCGTAAATCCTCATCTATAAAAATGAGAAGTTAGTTATGCCTTATTAGCAAGAAGACTCAGAGAATGATAAACTAAGAAATGAGCAAAGTACCAATCAATAGAATAAAAGTTCAAGATAGACTGTTTTTAGGAAAATATCACCAATGCAAAGTTAAAGATAAAAGAGAAAGTGGGATATCAATTGGTTACTGTTTAAGGATAATAGAGAAACTATGAAATAATACACTCTGGATAAGGATGATAAAGCTTAAGCAATCAATCATCTTGAAAATACCAGAGCATAACTTATGGATATTAGCCTGGCAAATTTCATGAAGGATAAAGAGTTCAAATTAAAATCACGGAGAAGTTAGGAGATTGATGATGAGGAAGAACAAATAAACATTGATAAACTATAGAATCTAACTCACCAGGAATATCTAGAATGCATGGAGCAATATGTGAAGCAGAAAAATCTCAATCTACCCTAGATTGATCATAGAATTACTCTCTTCGATAATTTATCCTCTCATCGAGTGTCTTTTTATGGAAAGAGTAGAACAAGTAGCAGGAATATGACCTCTCCAAAGAGTAGGTTAAACGATAGGACTATTCAAAGTTTACTATTAGATTTAAAGCCAACATAATATATACAGCAATCTACAGTATAAGACAATAATGATATTATTAGTAGGATTGCCTAACCAAAGGAAAGTTCAAGGAGTATAGTCGATTAAAGTTTTTAAAGCCATTTTATGATGAACCCACAAATTAAGTCATCCTCAGCATTACAGACAAAAGAAGCAATTGATGAAAGGATTAAACTTCTTACTTCTTAAAAGTTAAGCCAGCTGACTAAGCTTAGAGGATACTCATAGTCAGTTACAAGGAACCAATACCTTGAAAAAGAACTTTCCAAAGTAGCTAAACAGGACGTCAAGGATTTAAGTTAGTAGATATTTCAAAATAGCAAATCCAATTTTGACTCAAGCTAACGGTTTTACCAGGATCAGCAGTAATTTGTCTCTGAAAAAGATGTTGTTGTAAGCAAGCTGAGACAATATGTATAATCAAAGATATCTGCACATAGTAGTCATCAAAAGCATGGCCTTTTGAGAAGTCAAAGAACAGTTAATAAGTCTGAGCGATGGTATGACAGTGATGAGGAGTTTGATGATGAGCCAGATGAGTCTGAGGTCGTTATAAGAAACCTCATTTAAAACCAAAGAGATCTTATTCAAAAACTGATGGGAAAGAAAAGCAAATCTGAGGAGAAGAATCATTAAAAGCTGAAAATCAGCAGAGAGTTCTATGATAAGAACAAGTTATATGAAAAGTTTAAATAAGAGCATACTTAAAATATCAAGTAAGCTTTGGATATTATCTAGAGTAATGGTAATGATAAAGTATTAAAGAGAAATTTATAAGAGTTTATTACAATTGGTGGAGGTAATGGTTTTGGAATTGGAGGTATGCTTTTGAATTAGTTTAGTTGAATCCCTATTATGAAAGAAATTATGCTTTTAGTTAAAATTTTTATTTTAATCTACTAGAGATGCTCTAAATAAACTTCATGGGGTTTTGGGGTTTTGGGGTTTTGGGG